ATGCACCATCGACTTCCAGCACGACCCCATCAAGCCCTGCAAGTCTGTGTGCGAGCGGGCCAAGTGCGGCTGCGAGCCGGTCATGAAAAAGTACAACCATACGTGGCCAGAGACTCTGGCCTGCGAGGAGCTGCCCGTCTACGACCGAGGAGTCTGCATCTCACCTGAGGCGATAGTCAAGGCGGAGGGGCCAGGTTATTCATGCATTTATTATTGATTTTTGTTATTTATTTATTATTAATAATATATAGGGGACAATTCAAGTAAATTGGGACTCTTTTGACAGTCATATCAGTGTTAAAAAGTGACCCAATTTGTGCAGATTTACCCTATATAAATGTGCTTATATAATATAGATACAGATTGTATTGTAGTCTTTGCATATAGTATGTAATATGTTTATATGTTATCATCATTATTATTATATGGCATGAATTCAGGTAGATTGGAACACTTGATAATCTCAGTATCGAAAAGTAGACCATTTTTATTATATTTATACACTGTAGTGATGAATTATGGCATTATATTAATTATATTATATTATAATGCAAGGTGTATTATTGGGGCACTTTTGACAGTCATATCAGTGTCAAAAAGTGACCCAATTTGTGCAAATTTACCCTATATAAATGTACTTATATAATATAGATACAGATTTTATTGTTGTTTATGCATATCATGTGTAATATGTTTATATGTAATGTGTGTGATAATTTTTTATCATCATCATCATCATTATTATTATATGGCATGAATTCAGCTAGATTGGAACACTTTTGATAATCTCAGTATCAAACATTGGGCCATTTTATATTATATTTATACACAGTAGTGATGTTAGTAGTGAGTTATGTTATATTATATTATAATAAAAGGTGTCTTATTGGGGCACTTTTGACAGTCATCTCAGTATCCAAAGTGGCTACTTTTACATGAATTCACCCTCATATTCATATACGTTAGTTATAACTTATAGTATGTATATAGTATATTTATTCTAATACCTGCAATCATTAACATCAATGAAATTCTGTTAAAATAATCCTTGAACTTGTCTTCCCTAAAGATAATCCTTACTATCAAGACCCTTCAAAATGTAACCCTGGTGAGATAATGTTTTATTACTATGGGAATTATTAAATATTGCAAATTGTAAAGAGGACATTTCTGAAATGCATATATGAAATTTGAACGTTAATCTCAGTTCTGGTTCTTGTGCAGAAGGAAATCCAGACTTCCCAATGGATTCACATAATGCCAACTGCAAAGGAGCTAATGGTATGCTGTTTAAGTATCAATAGTTGTATTATGTTTGCATTATGTGTGCATAATAAGTAATGTGCAAATATGTTTAAAATGACATAGCAAAGTGCTTTACAGTCTATTTTGCAGTTTAGATACTACAAAAATATAAAAATATTTCTTTAAACATAACATTACAGATTTACTAGAGTTCTGCCTAAAAATTCTAAACATAAATACCTTAACTTTTTCAGATCGGTGCGAATGCAAGTCTGTGAGACTTGGTCAAAAGACATATTCAAAGAACAATTACAATTATGGTAAGGTCTTATTTTACAGTTTACCTTGTGTGAAGTTCTCAACTGCTCTTTTTGTTTGCTTTGTATTTCTTTACACATTCTCATAAAACTCAAAAGTACTTTTTGTAGAGCTTAAAACAGGGCACGCTTTCATTGTTTCTCTTTGCAGTCATCCGGGCAAGAGTGAAAGAGATCAAGACTAGAAATCATGACCTGAGCGCCATCGTGGAGGTCAAAGACGTCCTGAAGTCTTCTCTGGTCAACATCCCTCGAGACACCGTCACTCTTTATTATAACTCGGGGTGTCTGTGTCCTCCGCTAGCAGCCAATGAGGAATATATCATCATGGGTTATGAAAATGAGGAAAGGTCCAGGTAAGGCCTGATTTATGTAATGAGGATATTTGTGGGTTATATTCCTGTTCTCATAAATCATCTCTCCCCCAGACTGCTGCTCATTGATGAATCCATTGCACAGAAGTGGAAAGACAAAATTGGCCGGAAAGTGAAGGTATGAAAATAGCAATCATTAGATTACAGTGGCCCGAGAAAGCATTTAGATACTTTAGTCTTAAAATATCTAAATGTCACTCAAAATATCTAAATGTCATTGCATTGGAAGTAAAATATCAAATCAAGCAGCAGCTGCAAATAAATGATGCTTGATGAAACTTCTATGAGGCAGTTTTGCTCAGTGATTTTTAATCAGCCGGTCTTCATGTGATTTTTGGTGGACGTATGAAGTCCGTTCTCCTGAAGTTCACACAGGTGTCACAGCAGAGTAACTACAGGTGGAGAAGAATGTTCCTAACATTTAACTACCAAAAAGTATCCAAATACTTGGTTTTCTTTAAAAAAAAAAAA